GCGCATTTTTAATCACAAGATATTACCATTTTAAAATTTGTGTTCAGGTGATGCAATACTTTTGAGCGCCACTGTATTTGTGTTAGTATTATGAAGATTTTCGTTGCAAATATAATCTCTAAAAATTCGGGCAGTTGGAAAAAGTCGTGGTATTGGATCTATTGGTAAGTTTTGAAATGTTTTTTCAGTTTTAATGTATTCTTTAAATATTGGATTGTTTTGTTTTAACCATTTACTTGCAGGTATTAGTGTTTGATTAAACCAATTTGGTGGTTCATTTTGATTAAGGAAAGCTTCCAATTAAACCCGAATGTAATCCTAACGCATGTTGATTTTTTGATAGACAATGAAACCTTGTAGATGACGATAATTAGTATAGGGGTTTGAATTTACAGCACGTCCTAGTGAACAACTCATATGTATAGGTGATAGATTCTTTCAAAATATCATAGGCACAGCATTAATTCTTCTGGTACCTGACTTAGGATTGGAGGAAATCTGTGATTTTTCATAGTTTTACATGATGAACAGACAGCTATCTTTGTTTTCCCTCTATTATTTTGAGTTATAGGTAAGGATATATCGGGAAATGATATTGTTAATGTATATATCTCATTTGAATTATAATCGATCCATTTAACAGATGATTTCATCATTAAAATAGAGCAGTAAGCGCAAGGAATTGAAGGGTAATCATACAAAATTTTATTGTTAAATTCTATTAGAAGTAATTTAAAATTTTCAGAAGGAAACCATGGTAAAAAAGTTGAGTCATAATTCGATAATTTATGGTTAGTTTGATTGTTTAACGGTGCGTTCGATAGATTCTGATTTATTTCATTTCGGTTAATATATGACAAGAATAAAGGATCATTAATATGGTTTGATGATGCAAAATCTGAAGGGATAGGGTAATTAATGATTTTTTGTTGATAATTCATTATTTTTTATTAAACAGAAAAGTTTGATATTTTGATACGTATTATTTATTATTTCTTTTTTATAATTTTTTTTTTATAAAGTATATTTAATTTATTATTTGTTTATTTTTATTTGATTAATAATCGATTATTTTTATTATAGAAAAAATAGAACAGGAATTTACCGAAAATGATTACGAATATCGATAAGTTTATATAATTTTATTTAATTTATATGTATTATTATAATTTTGTTTATTTGTTAATGAAATAATAGATATTTTTTATTTTTTTCATTAGTTGGTATTGAAGAAATTTATGAAAAACTAATTTTAAAAGAAAAAATAATAATCTACCAATTATACTTTTCTTTAGATGGTTTAAATCATAAAAAAAAAAGTGATAAGAGCATGAAAAGTTGGATATACCAAACTTTAGATTTCTTATTTGTTAGATAATTATTAAAAAGTAAAGACAAATTATGTGTCTTCTTGAAGGTCTGTTTGTTGATTCATTTCTTCTTCACAGTTATGTTTAGGTTTTTCGTTTTTGTTATTAACGTTATTGATCGCTTCAGTTAATTTTTCGGATCTTCTTGTTGAATCTTTTAAAGATGTTCTTTTCGATGTTATGTTTAAAACAGATAGTGTTAAAGTTGAACTTGATACAGTGGCGCTCAAAAGATTTGCATCACAAAATAAAAAAAACTGTAACTATCAATATCATGTGATCAAAAGATAATTGACATTTGATAGGGATGCTAATGGTTATGGTCATGACCGGTCATAACCAGTCATAACCGTGACCGATATCGGTCGGTCAAAGGCTTCTGACCGACCAGTTGACCGACCGATTTTGACTACAAAAAT